CTTAGCTCAAGTAGAGACAAGAGACTAAACGGGCAGCTTCTGTTTGGATGTGAGATGGGAAGGCAGAGAGGGTTAGGAGCTGGTTGAACAGACATGGGGAATCGGGTGGAAAGGAGGAGTGTGCTGTCACAGTATGGGGAGAGCAATTAGAGTCACATAATGATGTATGTATAAATTTTTGTATGGGAAAAAAATAAAGGGAGACAGAGTCTCCAAACTCCCTTCTAAGGAGCATTCTGACTGTACTCCCCCAGATCTACTGAATCAAAAACTCTGGGAGTGGAACCCAACAACCTGTTTTAACAAGCCCTTCTGGAGATTCTAATGTACAGGAAAGTTTGAAAACCACTGGTTTAGAGTAAAGTCAGCTTTCCAGCACATCAAAAAGTCAAGGCCTCTGAGTTCCTTAACTGCCGGGCACCAGAATACAAATGAAAATTGTTAACTTACTGAAATTGTTAATTTACTTTGTGCCAAGTACTGTGCTTCGGTCTTCACGTGTTATCTTATTTCCCACAAGAACTCTGAGAGTTGCCCACGTTTTTAGAGGAGGCTATTAAGGCGCAGACCGATTCGGTCTTACAGGTAGGCGCGGAATTTTTGGTATAAAAGCCTGATTGGGTAGAAGGACGAATGGGGCGGGGCTTCGTGCCAGAACAACCAATAGGAGCTGCTTGAAGGCCGTTACACCGTATCATCGGGTCTCTAGCACCCTCTGTCGGCCAGGCCCGGCGCGCCTGGGCGCTTGAGCCCGTCTGCCCCCTAGCTCTTGACGCCTGTTGGGGATGCAGGTTACCATGGAGACAGGCGCGTGAGGCAGGCGCGCCTCGGAAAGGGCGGAAGTCGGTTGTGGAGGTGCGGGCGTCCATTTTGAGGCCGGGCAAGAGGGGCGGGACTGGAGCCGCCAAGTGACGGTTGACCGGTTTTAACCAAGCGACTGGTACCGCGGGGCGGGGAGAAGAGGGCGGTACCTGGGGGCCAGTCCAGGGGGGGTGTGGGGAACGGGGGAGGGATAGAGAGGGGAGAGGGGACCGGCAAGGGGAGGGAAGACGGAGGAGAAAGAGGACAGTCGTGTGAAGAGGCAAAAGAGAGGGGACAGACCAAGGCGAGACGCAGGAGTTGCTAAGTCAAGAAGCGGGGTGATGAGGTCGGGCGACGCTAGAGGAGGTGCGGCGTAGAGCGGGTAGGGCAAGAGCATGGAAAGGGAGGGCGAGAAAAGGGGGCGGGTCGAGAATGTCGCGCTTGGAGAAAAAGGTGAGGATTCAGAAGGTGCAGATGGAGAAATCAGCGCTGGCGCGTGGTAAGGAGAGAGCTAAAATCCACGAGGGGTCTCGCGGCCAAGAGAGGGCCCGTGGCGAGGAGGTGCGGGGTGAGGAGAGAGCGCGCGGAGAGGAGAGGGGCCGTGGAGAGAAGGTGCGGGGCGAGGAGAGAGCGAAATTTGAGACGGTGAGGGGCGAGGAGAGGTCTCGCGGTGAGGAGAGGGCCCGGGGCGAAGAGAAGGGGCGGGGCGAGAAGGTGCGAGGGGAGGAGAGGGCCC